ACACAGGACATCTTGCTTCTCCCTTCCAAAGCCGGAGCCTGTCTCTGCCTGGTAGAAACATTTAACATGATCATCATGTGTTCACAGAATACTAAGCAGCTTTACTTAGGTGAGCTCATGAATTTAGATTTCTTGGGCCCTTCTTGAAGCCTGTTCTATGCATTCTCTCACCATTACAACTGACTGACTGTTGGCCTTTCAGAACCAGGATGGCTTATTCTGACAATTCCTAAAATGTTAGTAAAACAGTTTCTTTCTCCCCTGTTTCCTACTGCCATGCATATATGGGTATTCGTATACACACGCATATATATATTCACTATTAATTCTTCGATTGCTTTTCTTACAAACTATATTAAATTCAATGTTTTCTAACAGGGAGCAGATAGATATTGAAGAGGAGGGACCAAGGACAGAGCCCTGAGGAACACTGAATGAGACCGTGCAGGTGCTAGAGGAAAAAACGTTTGTGGAGATGAAGTTGAGATGGTGTAAGAGGTACGATCCGAACCATTCAAGGACAGAACCATGAAGGTTGAGGTGAGAGGAGAGGCGGTGGTTGAGGATAGAGTGGTCAGCAGTATCAAAGGTAGCAGAGTGGTCAGGAAGACGAGGAGGCAGAGGGAGCCCTGGTCGTAGATGTTCAGAATGTCATTTGTCACTTTGACCAGAGCTGTTTCTGTGCTGTGGGTGGCACAGAAACCTGATTGGAGGGGTTAGTATAGGGAGTGGCGGGAGAGGAAGGAGTGAAGCTGGGAAACAATGACTCATTACAGGATCTTGGAAAGGAAAGGGAGGTTGGAGATGGTGCGGTAGTTTGAAAGGAGTGATGGGTCCAGGGAGAGATTCTTTTAAGGATAGGAGTGATGACGGCCATTTTTAATGGGATGGGAACAGTACCAGTGGACAGGGAGAGGTTTTTGATGTCTGTGAAGTAGAGGGACAAGGAGGTGGAGCAAGAGGTAAGTAGAGGGGTAAGGATGGGGTCGAGGGAGCAGGTGATTGGTTTCATGCAGGTTACAGTGGTGGTGAAAGAGGAGTGGGAGACCGATTCGAAGGTGTGGCAGGGGGCCTGGTTGGGAGAGGGGTAGCAGACGAAAGGGCAAAAGCAGCTGGAAGAATCCCCTCGACTTTGGATTCGGGGAAATCCAGCATCGCCTCGCGGGTGGCACTGGAGGTGAGAATGGGCGAGACGTGAGAGGGTGGGTGGAGGAGCCGGTTGGTGATGAAGCCTGGGGTTGTACTTGGGCTCCAAGATTGCCTTGGAGTAGAACAACAATTTAGCAGAGGCAAGGGTGGAGCAGTAAGATTTGATGGAGTCCAGCCATATCTGTCGATGGACTGCTAAGTTACATCCTTTGCTACCAAACGTGGTTGTTGCTGAAGTCTGTCAGTTAACCTTGGGACGTCATCCTGATGTGGTAGGCACTATATAAATGTAATTTTGTATTAACTGCTTACAAGAATAATTAAACTTTGCCCCCTTGAGGAGACCTATGTAAATCCAGCTTGTTTTGGTAAGCTGGGTATCTGATTCAGCACCCAGCTATGCCTCTACCCACAAAATATACAGTTAATTCACTTTACAGTATATTCTGTGAAGCGCTTTGAGACATCTCGAAGACATGGTAAAGCGCTATATCAAGTGCAAGAATTATTATTATTACCCCATGACCTAACTGCCGTGATGGTGGTGTGACTCATCTCCAGTTCTCACTTGGCCTATCTCCTTACTCCTCTGGTTCCTTCCGCTCCTTCGAACACCTTGCCATCTACCATCATGGAGTCCTGTAGCTCAGTGGTTAGAGCACTGCCTTGCAGGTGAGACACCTGGGTTCAATTCCAGGCAGAGGGCGAAACCTTGGGCAAGTTTCCTTACTCCACACAGAGCCTAATAATAATCCCTCCAAAACAAAACAAAAATAAATTGGTCATTTTCAATCCATGACGTTGTGGGACGCTGCTGTGCGCAATTGGCTGCCGTGTTTTGCCCACAAATATACAGTCAATTCACTTTACAGCATATTCTGTGAAGCACTTTTGAGACATCTAAAAGACGTGAAAAGCGCTATATCAAATGCAAGGATTATTATTATTATCCCTCCAATCTTTCCCTTATCCTTGTTTATCCTCGTTTATCCCCCCCCCAACCCTCTCCCATCTTCCTCTCTTTGACATCTCCACCCTTCTGTCTTCCTTCTGCCTCTGTTCTAAATGTCTCCTCATCTTCGACGACTTCAACCTCCACTGCAACCCTCTTACTCTCTCTGCTGACTTTTCCTCTCCTCTTAAAACTTCTCTCTCCATATCCATTCTGCCACCCATGTTCATGGCTGCCCGATCAATCGGGTGATTACCCAGGGCCTCAGCTTCTCGGACATCACTGACAAAGTCAGCTCAGACCACTAATTCATCTCCCTTAACTCCTCAATCCTTCTCCCCGTCACCCAACCCACCTCCATCTCCTACCGCCCCTGGAAAAAAATCTACCCCCACTCCCTCTCCACTGCCCTGGAGTCATCCCAACTCCTCAGTCCCTCTCTACCACTCTCGATGCCCTTTCCTCCCTCACCTCCCGAGCCACCTCCTACTCAAACAATTCACCCTGGTACACCAGCCGCATCTGCTCTCTCAAGGCACAGGTGCGTGCTGCTGAACACACCTTGCTCAAATCCAACTTAAAGGTCCATTAGAAGATCTGGCTAGATCACATCAAAATCTACCGCTCTGTCCTCTCCTGCACTAAATCGACCTTCTACTCCAAGATAACCTTGGAGGCCAAGGGCAACCCCAGAATCCTTCTCCACCACCAACCGGCTCCTTCACTCACCCTCTCATGCCTCACCCATCCTCTCCTCCAACTCCAAGGAGATGCTGGACTTCCTCGAAACCAAAATCAAGTGGTTTTGCTCAGCTGTCTCTGCGTTTCCAACTGCTCCCCCTCCCCATCTCCCCCTCACACTCCCACCCCTTCCCCCCCTCCCTCCCTCCACACCTTCAACCTTGTCTCCCCTCCTCTCTCACTATAATCATGACCAAAATGAAACACACCACCTGTTCCCTCGACCCCATACCTACCCCTCTCACCTCCCAGTTCCACCTCCTTGCGTTTCTGCTCACAGATATCATCAATCTCTCCTTGTCCACTGGCACCATTCCCAGCCCCTTGAGAACAGTCCCTATCCTCAAAAAACCTTCCCTGATCCCAACCTCCAACTCAGGTCCAAATCCCTGACTGTTTAGTACCTTGGGACGTTCTCCCGATGTGAAAGATGCTGTACAAATGTCATTTATTGTGGTTGTGTCAACAATCCCCAAATAAAATTGGTTTCTGGGACATTGCTGTGTGCAAATTGGCAGCTACGTTCGCCCACAAAATACAGTCACTACACTTTACAGTATATTCTGTGAAACACTTTGAGTCATCTCAATGACCCGAAAAGGTGCAATATCACATGCAAGGATAAGTACATAGAATGATACAGCATTTGACCCAACCTGTCCATGCTGATATTTATTCGCCACATGAGCCTTACCTATTTCCCTCTATTCCCTTCTCCTTAATGTATATATCAAGTTTCTTTTTAAGTAAATTGATAATAATAATAATAATAATAATCCTTGCATTTGATATAGCGCTTTTCACGTTGGGAGGACGTCCCAAAGCGCTTCACAGAACACACTGTAAAGTGAATTGACTGTATATTTGTGGGCGAACGCGGCAGCCAATTGCGCACAGCAATGTCCCACAAACAGTCGTAGATTGAAAATGACCAATTTATTATTGTTTTTGGTTTTGGAGGGATTATTATTAGGCTCTGTGTGGAGTAAGGAAACTTGCCCAAGGTTTCGCCCTGACTGGGATTGAACTCAGGTCTCTCACTTGCAAAGCGAGTGCTCTAACCACTGAGCTACAGGACTCCACAGTTGATTTTGCTTCAACCACAGATTCCGGTGCTGCATTCCACCCTTTGCAAAAAGAAGTTCCTTCTAAACTCCCTTTTAGATTTGCTACTTGCTGACTTATAATTATGCTCACTCATTTCAGCCAATAAGTGGAAACTGCCTATTAATGTTCACCTTATCGAATCCTTTTATAGTCTTATAAACACCTCTACTAGGTCCTCTTTTAATCACCTCATCTCTGTAACCCCTCATCCCTGGTAACATCCTAGTGACTCTGTTGATTACTATAGTATCTGCCAGTAGAACGGCAACCAGAACTGCACACGGTACTTCAAATGTACTCCAAATTCCAAAACATTTGCAAAAAAATTAAATGGTCGTATCAGACCTGGTCAGAATGGGACTGAAAGAGTAGATTATACTGTAGGTTCGTGCATTTTTACTCAACCTTCCAAACACTTCAGACTCAAATATAAAATAGCAATTAACCAAAGAATCGCAGGTATTGTGTTGGCAACTTGCTTTCTGTAATTCTGTACCTTTGAATTTTACAAGAGATACAGAAAATTAATTATGTTGCTTTGTCACTGAACAAAACTGATAGAATTTGAAAACATTTTCAGGCTTTAAACAAGTTAATGTTCATCTCCCATCATCCACATTTTCTCCTTTTCAAGGCCTGTTCTACATTGGGTTGCTTTGCCAGAATTAGTCCACTGTGAATTGCCAGGTTGTGATTTGTATCTGAAGTAACAGACAGCAGTGTGAGTGCGCATTCACTCACTGCTGAGTTTGGTTAGAAAAAGCATTTAAAATATTTACCCAAATTCCAGCTATTATAAATCAGCCAATAAATGAATCAGCCAGTTCCAGCCCACTACAAAGATCAAAGGAAACCTCAGTATTGCTTTGTGAAATCATCTGTCTCACAGTCTAATCTTACTGTACTATCCGTAAAGTACAATAAACAACAGACAGCTCAGTTCTCCCTCACAAGAGTTCAATAAATACTATTCTCACTTTCTTTGTGTTTGCAGAAAATGTTGCCTCTCAAAGGTTAAGTTTATAATTAAGAGATGAGTGTTCTTTCCTACCTTCCTGTGCCTCAGTCATCTCTTCAGCGTCTCTAACTCAAGGGCTTTCTTTGGCTGAACTGCTCAAGAACACTTTTGCTCTGCCTTTTACAAAGGTGGGAGGAGCCCATACCCTTAACCCTTTTATGATTGGGCGCTCAGAACCCTATCCCTTTCTTCAGTTACTTCTAATCACAACAGATGTTTCTTCTGACACAAGAATCCACAGTACATCTTAGAAGCCAGATAACTGCATCACCTCCTTGTAATTATCCAATAGCTATCACCATTGTAATAATTTTATTAATCAAATTAAATTACCAGCTGTAATGAACCAATAACAGGAAATGTATCAACCCCATTATTCATAGAATCATAGAATCGCACAGCACAAAAAGAGGCCGTTCGGCCCATCGAGTCTGTGCCTCTCTTTGAAAAGGACAATGTAATGTCAATCCCACTCCCCAGCCCTTTCCCCATAACCCTGCAAACCCATCCTCCTCAAATACCCGTCCATCGTGTTTTTAAAATTTGTTATCGAATTGGCCTCGACCACCCTTTCAGGCAATGCGCTCCAGATTCCAACAACTCACTGAGTTCTTACTGTAATAATGATTATAACAACAATAATAATCCTTGCAATTGGTATAGCGCCTTATCATGTCACTGAGACATCTCAAAGTGCTTCACAGGATTTATTGTGAAATGGAGCAAGTGACTGCATAGGCAAATGTGCAACACAATTGCAAATAATAATAATAATCCTTGCATTTGATATAGCGCTTTTCACGTTGGGAGGACATCCCAAAGTGCTTCACAGAATATACTGTAAAGTGAATTGACTGTATATTTGTGGGCGAACGCGGCAGCCAATTGCGCACAGCAATGTACCACAAACAGTAGTGGATTGAAAATGACCAATTTATTATTGTTTTGTTTTGAAGTGATTATTATTAGGCTCTGTGTGGAGTAAGGAAATTTGCCCAAGGTTTCGCCCTCTGCCTGGAATTGAATCCAGGTCTCTCCGAGTGCTCTAACCACTGAGCTACAGGACTCCACATGGCAGTGTCCCACAAACAGCCATGAAACAAGTGACTAATTTTATTTGGAGGATTGTTGGCCAGGACTCCGAGAGAAACTCCCTTCTATTTTTGAATAGTGCCATGCGATCGTTAACTTCCACATAAACAGGCAGACGGATCCTCAATGTAATATTTCATCCAAACGACGGTACCACCGACAATGCAACACACCCCTACCACTGCATTTGGGGTGTCATTTTAGATTATGTGAATTCAAGTCCTGACATAGGATGTGAACCCACAACCTTTTGACTCAGAGGCAAGAGTGCTACCATTAAGCCAAGCTGACACACTGTGACGCAGCAACGAGTATTATACTCGAGGTGGAGCCCAATCAGGACCCTGTGCATATTCAGCAATATACAATACAATCCTTGCATCTGATATAGTGCCTTTCACAGCAGGACGGTGTCTTAAAGTACTTCACAGGATCGTACTTGTAATTTATGCTCTATCCTATTAGTAATAAATGCACTGTGCTGATAGTTTCAGCCATCTGTACAATGGTAGCCCCAAATCCTTCTGTGTCATATCCTGTAGAATAAAATAGACATATCAATCGAAACCATAATATTTAATATGACTTACGCGAAGTATGAGTTATAGCCAAACTTGTATGTTAGATTCTATATGCCTAACACATAACAGTAAACAAGTACCTCGTTTTCCATGCTTGTTTCAACGGAGTACACTGTGCTGTGCATGTGGTACTTCAGCATTGCAGTCCGTAAGTGTGCATTAGGTGACAGGTGACAGACTTAATTTTCCGCCCTTGTTTCAAATGGAACACTGCACATGCGTACTTCAACGTAGCCAGTAAGTGCAGCAGCATACTTACGAGTACGGAGATGATTTGCATAGGATTTAGGATTATTTGAGATTGTTACAATTTAGCCGTTATCCAATTTATAAAATACGATTAGTGCAAAGAAATCAACAGTTTTCTTTGTAGGAAAGCAGTTCAACCACTACGAAAACTTTCAACCACTATGCCTTGAAACTCTGGAACACACTTCCTATATCCCTCCGCCTTGCCCCTTCCTTCCCAATCTTCAGGTCGCGCCTGAAGACCTTCCTATTTGACCATGCCTACGGTCACCTCCCCCGACTCGATTTCATGCTCTGCCACTGTCAAATGCTTTGGGACACTACCCTAAAGTGAAGGCCGCTGTATATATGCAAGTTATTATTGTTGCTGTGGGAAACTGAATAGGATTTAGGCGATTATTCGAGTTATAAAGTGATAACTTATGCGAGTTTTACTGTAATACAATCCCGGACAAGAAAAGAAGTTGTGCAGTGACTACTTCCTTCAGGAATTGAGTGCTCTTAGTCCACACCTTCCTGCACCTTCCCTATCTGGGTGCTTTGGGCAACAGGAAGCAGAAACATAAATGCTAGTGTTTAGTGGTTTACTGAGTGGATCGCAGAACCAAAATGGAGGGGAAATTAGGAATGGAAAATCAAGGATTAAAAACAAAGGGAAAATTGCACAGGAATGGTAGAAATGCAAAACACATTCAGGAATGAAAATCCTTAGTAACGGAGTGGAAACGTGTAAATGACTGACTGATAGAAAGGAAAAACTTATCTGTGGGGTTGGTCCCATTTGGTGATGTCATCCACAGACTTGGGGTTAATTTCCACACATATGTTGTTGACACCCAACTGTATCTCTCTGCCTCCACCCTTGATTCCAGGACCACTGCTGTCCTGACAGATTGTCAGTTTTCTCCAGTTGAATGTTGACATGATGGAGGCCTTCCTGCTTGGCTCCTATCAGTGCCTTTTCACCTCAGGCATCGACAGCATCACCATTCATGGGTGTTTTCTCCACCTTACAGAACAAGTACAGAACTTTGGTGACCTGTTCGACTCTTAAGTAGCTTTTAAACCGCACATCCATGCCATTACTGTCAGGAATGAGCTAACGAGCAATGGGAAGCCTTCAAGTAGGAGACAGTTCAGAGATAGAACAAGTACATTTCTACAAAGGGGAAAGGTAGGATATCCAAAACTCCCTGGATGGATAAGGAAATTGGGATTAAAATAAAATACAAAAAGGAGGCTTTTGATAAATGTCAGATCCAAAATGCAGGAGATAATCAAATAGAATATAGAAAGTACAGAGGAGAACTGAAAAAGGAAATAAGAGAGGCAAAGAGATTATATGAGAAAAGATTAACGGGTAATATAAAAGGGAACCCTAAGGTAATTTATAAGCATATAAAGAATAAAACATTAGTCAAAGATAGAATGGGGCCAATTAGGGGCCAAAGAGGAAATCTTCTTGTGGAGGCAGAGGGAATGGCTGACATACTGAATGAGTACTTTGCATCTGTCTTCATAAAAGAAGAGAATGCAGCCAATGCCATAGTAGCAGAGGAGTGGGGAGAGAAATTGGATAAGATAAGAATAAACCGAGAGGAGGATCTAAAAAGGTTGATGGTCCGAACGGGATGCATCCTAAGTTACTGAGGGAAGTAAGGCTGGAAATAGCAGAGGCTCTGGCCAAAATCTTCCTCTATTTTGCTAAATAGAATAAGAATAACTCACTTACTATCTAACAGGGCATATGGTGAGATAAGTGCCTCAATACTGTGAGCCCCATCTTATCTACAAGGAACAACGGTACAAAAGCAATATTTACTCCAGACTTTGAATGGTGTCCTTTTACATACATCAATAAAATGTTTTTCAAGTACAGAAAACCTGAACCCAAATACTGTATATTTAACAGTCATCAAGTCTTAAATAAGAAGATGCAAATTCATTCTCAGAATACAGAAATTGAACAAACATAGTTTTAATAGTTTTCATAGTTAAATTAAATTGATGAGTCATTTTGTTTTAATTCAAAATGTGAAGAGTAATACAGTAAATACTGTGAGCCCCATCTTATCTACAAGGAACAACGGTACAAAAGCAATATTTGGCAGTAAATACAGCCAGAGGTTCTTGGAAACTTATTTGGTGGCTTCAATGCATCAATGCCTTCTTGTGGTGTAAGCTCCTCATCAAGGTATCCCAGTAATTGACAGGTGATACATTCTGACACAAAAGAGTGGGAATGAAAGCCACAGAACCCTGGGTACCATAGCAGCATCATGGGAATGTCAACACCTCCTAATTCTCCTCGACAACAACAACAAATTATATTTAGCACCTTTCATGTCAGGAGGACTTCCCAAGGCAATGTATAGTCAGGGATTTGGACCCAAGGTGGGGATTGGGATTAGGAGGGGTTGAGGGCAGGAAGGGTAACAGTAGGATGACTGAAGGTGCGGTCGGAGATGATGTCTTGAGACGGGCCTTGAAGGAGACAAGGGAGGGAGCGAGGCCAAGGGACTGTGTGATGGAGTTCCAAAGGGTGGGGGCAGAGAGGCTGAAGGTTCGACCACCGATGGTGGGCTGACTGAGTGGGGGACATGGAGCAAGCGGTGTGTGGAGGGAGCGGATAGGTCGATATTAGTTAGAAGATCACAGAGGTAGAGAGGAGCAAGGCAGTGGAGGGCTTTGACGATGAGAATTTTGAATTCTATTTCTGGGGGATGGGGAGCCAAAGGGCCAGGCGAAGATGGAGGTAATAGGGTTGTGGAGCCCGGTGCAGGAAGAAGACGGGCTGCAGAGTTCTGAATGATCTGCAGCTTGTGGAGGGGAAGAGTTGGGAAGGCTGACAGATAGTTAGCGTAGTCAAGTATGGATGTGATGAATGAGTCAATGAGGGTATCTAAGTATTGGTAATATATACTAGTAAAGTGCAAATGTTGTCCACATTCCTGAGACAGTAAAATCTTTTCTTTAAATTGTCACTCACAGCCAGCACAATATAAAATGGAACGTTGCCCTTCACCGCAACACAATTAAAATAACCCAATATAAGTGAGGTGAGTAAACCACTTTAATCTCCATGGTATACATAAGGGAACAGAGGGGTAAAGGAGAGATTAGGAGGAGTGAAGGCTCACGCCTCGTGCAAACACCATCACAAACTAATTGGGCCAAT